GAACAGCAATGCTGTTCACGCCTTGTGTTTTCTTAGATCACGATGACAGGAGCAACATTCGAGAGCCCTTAGTGTGTAAATGGCAGCGATTCCTTCGTCGCCGCAGGCAATTCCTTCTTCATCTGAGTCTCCTTCTCTTTCTCGAGCTTCAAAATGCATAGCCAGTTTTTTGCTGAAGTGATCTGAAGCCCGACTGAGAAAGGCATGAAGGCATATTTAGTAGCAGATTATAATTTCTGTCGAACGGTGATGAAGTTGGGACGAATGTGGCTGCTACTGTCCATGCTGGAAATATGTCCATGCCGGTATGCACTGAAATTAACTCTCAATTTAGTCCATACTGATAATACTTTGGTTTTAGAGCATTATCACTTAGTCTACACCTATATTTAAGCACCCTGCAGGTTCAAGCTTACACCATGGCTTCGGTTTGGGCAGTAAGTAAATCTGTAAACAAACCAAATACCACCGTTCTGGAGAGAAAAGTGGATCAATTTCAGACCACATATTCTTGGAATAATCCATGTCGGTATGGACGAATTACCACTTTGGATGGTAATCGGCGGAACGCCACATCTGCTCAACGGTGAAACAGGCGTCCGATTGGTAGATGAGTCGATCGGAACTGTTATCGCCTACTAGCCTAAATTTACGTGCTGACAAACGACAATGTGGATGGTGCCTTGAAAACGTACTCACTGACGCGCCGCACCGTAGTGACCCTCTGTTCGTCAAAGACGACTGTTCGAAACCTCTTGACAAGTCGAAATCGCTTACATTCACTGTCAGTGAAACGACTTTGTGTTCCCACAATGTCACAGTAATCAATATTAAAGCTAGCTCATAAATGGTTTGACTTAAAGAGGAAGTTGAGGAAACAAAGTTATAGATAATGTGGAAAATTTTAATTAAAATCGTTGGGGCCGACGTCCGAGATGAAATGAAAGCGACTGGGATGAATAAACGACCATAAAAGCAAGGATTCTAGCTGAATGGCTCAAAAGGAAACAGGTCAGCAAGGTCATGTGGCATTAAGCTTTACCCTTGGCCGAAAGTAAAGGAATGTAAGGTCGACATCGCATTAGCCAGTTCTAGCCTAACGCCCGAATATCATGCATCAAGTCCTGGCGGAAATAAATGCACGCCGAATTGAACATAATATGAATTGTGTGAATTGCAATATTAGATCAAAAAAACGTAGGAGCGTGAAAGATCTAAACAAAAATCGTTTCAAAAAGTTTAAGAATTCCAGTGTACCCTTAGTCGCGGCAAGGAAATTACTAGCAGCGCGGATAAATTACAACAACCGATAATCCTAACATCATTTAAAGTCTAGTTTCAAGTGCACATATACAATTCGTCTATAGTTTTTGTCTGAGTGCGTCTGAGTTTTTGGACATTGACGATACTGCAAAACCAAAAACGATCTACTTGAGGCGGATCATCGTAGGCATAGGAATAGAAAAATTGATCGAACTAATCATCGCAATCATCAGAAATACCTTCGCACGCCGGAGTATGTCATGATCTGTATAACTCTTTCTGGACTAAATATGACGGCCTATTGCACCATCCCTTGGTCTACTGGTGGATTATTGGCAGGGATATATTTAAGAATGCTACGGATCCATCGCGTTTGAGCATATGCAGCATGAGATTCATCTTGCATTATTTCGTTCGCGAGAGTCATCTCGTACTCAAATGGTGAATGCGATGGAACCGTCGTATACTTATATACCCCTAGACAACTAGGAGCAAGGGATCGGGGCAACATTCGGTTAAATCAAGCCATGGAGGAGTCATGCGCAATTCACCATTTTCATACAGGATACTATAATTGTCTTTCGAAACGTTGTCGCGCTGAATCCGCAATCGAACAATCGTCAGTAAATGACGATGACTCAGGAATGATTAAAAGTGCGTAAGTATAGGTTTGAATAATGGAATAAAATAATGAGAATGATAGCATTACAGGTTAGGTTAATGAACAGTTTGAGAAGCAAGTGGGTCAAGGTGGGACTTTCTATATGACAAAGCGCTGCTTAAACCATGAACGGTAATTGCGGGGATGTATTACAGGCAACTGCAAAGGCAAATCGAAACCTCAGTGGAAGTTAATTCAAAAAATTCAGAACTTAACTCAGAACTGCAGTCACATCATTGGATTAATTCCACTTGTTCACTTCAAGAAGTGGCTGAT